CTGTTCTGTTTCGACATCAGACTACTCACTTCCCTGACTCTGTTCTAAATTAAATGAATTCCTGTAATAGCAGAGTCTTCATCATCAAGATGCTTTATTCTCAGAGAAATTAAGAGAAGCAGATATGCTTTTCCTACGCTAACTGCTACAAAGACATCATTTTCACATTCCAGTTCATGAGGGAGGAACCCAAGCCCAGATTAAAGTTTTTGCATGCTTTCTGACCTGGACCCAATGAAGAAGAATTTGGAAACATATTTTGCAAGATCTTGCATGAATGTGCGCTATTTATTTCTACACTTACTAGAATGGACAAACAAGATGAAATAGTCAGGTGGCTAAATAAGAAATAAATTTAATTAACATTAGTCACCTACTCCTGTATGTCATTTACTTTCTCGTTTGTATTATTCTTGAGGGAATGCACAAGGAGAACAAGAAACACTATGGAAAACACCAATGGTTAATAGCCCTTCTAGTGAGCTGCACAGTTGCAGTAACAAAAATTGTTTTTCCTCCTTTTCAAAATAGAGTAGTTTGCATCTTTCTCATAGTCATCTAAGTATTCTGATTTTTTTTTGGTGAGAGATAGTTTCATATCAAAAGAGGAGTTTTCTTCTAAGAAATTCTGAGCAAGAATCTAATGAACTAAAGAGCATTCCAGACCATACAATAATTTCATACTTTCAAAGACCTTCTTGCATATCATGGCAATTTAAAAGGAAAATAATTATGAACATATTTTTAACCACCCCACATGGTAATTTCAATGGAAATACAGTAAGTGAATACTAATTTATAATAATCAGTAGTTCTCCATACTATAGGAAAACTAATATAATTGTTGCACATAATTAGATTTACTAAAGATTATTTCAACTTTGTGAATAATCTAAGCCTTTTCCAAAAAGCATAGGCATATCAAATACAGCTAGTGAAGCATTAAGATAGTTTACACAAGATGTCTGTAATGTGGGATTCACGAAGTACTTGACAAAGATTATCTTTCACTACAAAAACTAGCAAGAATCATTATTTAACATTCTGTGTATCAGGAAAGAGGGGCACTCTCTGAAAAGGATATTAACCAACTGCTACCATCACATATAAAGTAGCTAAACTGGGAATAGAACCCAAAGCTTCTGGCACCTAATTCCCTGCTGAAGGCACTGGGCTACATTACATGCAGTTATACAAACCAGCACTGACATCAGCAGAAGTACAGTTTATCCCCTCTAGCATTTTAGAATGTCAGTCTCCATAACACTCTCAGTGTTTTTTGTTACAACACAGCAAGTATTAGATTTAATTGGTATTAATTATAATTAGGAAATGTAAACACTTCAGTACAAGCAAACCAGGATTTTTTTTCCTTACAGTATTTCCAACTTCATATTGGCTAGAAATTATGGGAATTGCGCGTGTGGGAAAAACCTCAATATCTATGAGTTCCAGCCCTATTTTCAAGCCACAAGGTTCAGAAAAGCATCTGAGTTTTGAATACTTGCTGTGAGCTGGCAGAAAGATAACAGACAATTTTTTCTTATGTTTGCTAAAGCAGCCACAACTCTTTCTTAAACAAACAAGACTGAAAACAGATGCTTATTGGATGCTCAGTATTATCAGCCAATTTCAGAGAAGCGGCTGAGTTTGCAGACACCTCTGACCTTGACATTTGTCCAACGCCTATTCTAGTACCATTAATCAAGATGGATTTCTGTGTTATTTTTCCCTATCTTTAATGTGGAATTCTATAAGATTTCCATTCTAATGCCCCAGAAAGTACCATCCACCATTATAAAGATTCAAATCAATCACGTGACTGACAGAAAAATAGAGTCAATCATTGTAGAATCTGACAACCTACTGAAAATTCATCTCAGAATAAGGTAGAATTAAGATGTCAAAAGATGAGACGTAAATGATATAAAATTAGGTGTGTCTGATTAGATACCATAAAGCATAAAATTATAAAGCAAAAGAAGAACAAGAGAACATGAGAAAAAGTGGACAAGTGAGTAATCCAGGTGGTTTTTCTCCTTCTAGTATACAAAAGAGCTCACTAAAAAGTGTCCCAATAAATGTAATATATAGAACTTACTGTCCTAGGACAGCTGCAGGAATGTATTCTCTCTCTCTCTCTTTTTAAAAAAATATATACATTATTCACACACATAAGGATAAAATTTTCTGTCACACTGACAAAGATAAATATATCTCAATTTTCACATCAATAGGCATAAACAAGGAAAATATTTAGAAGAGGATGTTTTTCTATTTGAAATGATAATGCACAATTCAATTGCAATTTTATCTAAAGCAGAACTACTCTTCTTCCAATATCAACTGGGTTCTTTTATAATATTCCATGCATAAGAAAGTGGAGTATGATAAAAAGGGTAGCTCAGTATTGCAGGAGAAACCAGGTACTGGGTTGTCTTTATTTTTTAAGACTGTGTTGATATGATTTCCTATTCCTTCTGCTGGTTTTGGCTGGTGTGGAGGTAACTTCACAGGTACTCCTATGGTGCTGCAAATTGGATTTGTGACCAAAAGACTGCTGATAACTCATCCATGTTTTAGCTGTTGCTGAACAGTCCTGCACAGCATTCAGGCCTTCTCTATTTCTAATGCTGATATACAGAAAGTAGGCTGGGGATGAACAAGAAGTTGGGAGGGGCCAAGCCAAATCAATAAAGGGGTAACTCATACCACAGAACATAATGCTCAGAAATAAATCTGGGAAAAGGAGGAGGAAGCAGGGGAGAAATTCAGAGTTTTGATGCTTGTCTTCCTAAGCAGGGTTATGTGTGATGAAATAGTGCTTTCCTGGTAATGTGAAATTTAGAAATGTGTGTTCTAAATGGAACTTAGAAATACTGTGGCCAACAGGATTAGGGAAGTGATAAAGCACACTGTACTTGGCACTGGTGAGGCCACACCTTGAATCCCATGTTCAGCTTTAAGCCCCTCACACAAGAGAGACCTTGAGGTGTTGGAGTGTCCAGAGAAGGGCAGTGGAGCTGGGGAAGGGTCTGGAGCACAAGTCCAACAAGCAGCAGCTGAGGGAGTTGGGGGTGTTTAGCCTGGGGAAAGGGAGGCTCAGGAGAGGCCTTATCACCCTTTACAACTCCCAGAGAGCATAGGGGGTCAGTCTCTTCTCTAGGGTAACAAGTGACAGGACAGATGTATCAGGGGAGGTTCACACTGGATGTTGGGAAACATTTCTTTACTGAAAGGGTTATCAAGTACTGATACAGGCTACCCAGGAGAGTAGGGAAATAACCATCCCTGGAAGAGTTCCAAAAGAGTGTAGATGTTGTGCATAGGAACATGGTTTAGTGGTAGAACTGGCAATGGTAGGTTAATGGCTGGACTTGATAATTTCTAAGAAGTCTTTTCCAGCCTTAATGATTCTAAGAAATGGCTGAACACTTGTTCACTGATGGGAAGGAGTTGATCGAATTCCATATTTTGCATTGCTTGTTCACACAGCTTTTGCTTTCCCTATTAAAATGTCTGTATTTCAATTTACTAGTTTTCTTTCATTCAACCTTCCACCCTCTCCTTGTCCATGGAGGGGCAGCAAGCAAACAGTTGAGTGGTGCTAAGCTGCCAACTGCACTAACCACGACAGTCCTTGTGAGATCCAGGACGCAGCAAGAATTACAGGATCTGTGATACCCTTGTGGAAGACACCATTTGGTCAGGGTCCTGGCAAGACCTGGGCAAAATTGATTATTACAATATTTTGGATATTTAGTACTAATTCAATCTTGATATTATTGTTAAACTGTAAGTGAAAACTTCCAATTAATACATTAAAAAGACAAACTGTCCTGGAGTGACATTAAGATTTCCATTACATTCTTTGCTTTAAAAATTCTGTGAGGAGGAATTTGCTGCTTAAATACTGTCCAAATACACTTGCACCATGGCCTGGGAGAACGGTAAAGGAGAATATCAGCTTATTTACCAGTACAATTTAACTGCTACTTTTGAAACAGCCTGTTTTCAATTGTCAAAGTATTTACACAAGACAGCCTAATGAAACAAAGTTATTAAAAAGACATTAGGACAACCTTCGTAAAAAGGATTAAGCTAATCAATAAATAACTACAATAAGCTGAATGATCACTAATATTCTGTCTGGATGAGCAGATTCAGATAGTTTAACTGACTTCTCAGATAGAAAATTGTTAAACTGTTCACCATTTCTATGAGAAATACAATTAAATTCTTAACAATTCTAATATCTCTGTCAAAAATACAGATTTTTTTTGTTTATCCAAGAAGATTGTACGCCTACAAGGAGAGGGGGGAAAATCTCTTCCTGCATATATTTTCCACAACCACAGAAGCAATGGTGCTGGCAGAAGCAGGTGATGGAGAACACAGCATGAGAAACAGGAAGAGGAGCAGGACTGCTGTTTTCAACAGCAACCTGCATTTACATTATCTTCAGTTGAGCACCAAATTGCACCTTGGTTTTCACCCACTGCCTCCAGACTCTAACCTGGTAAATCACTTTTTTAATGCTTTTTTCTGTCTCACGCAAGACAGAAAAATCTTTAAATATGACTAAGTCAGTTCATAAGCCCACACTAGGGAGAAAAGATGACATGTATATATGTGGACTTTCTCTAAAAGAGAATCTTTCACTCTTCTCTTTTTTAAGTCTTTGAAGCTTTATATTCCCTCTGATAAATTTCGTCTGTGATTAATATATTTTTCATTTTGCCTACAAATAATAATAAAGAACAAAGCACAATATAACCAGTGGGAAATGGGTGAGATCAAGGGAGTGATTAGCTTTGACAAGTGATGTCGAAGATCTGTATAACATATATCGACATATATGAATATATATTAGGCCCATTAGGAACGTAATCCACAGGAATTTTCAGAGGAAACAGATATTTAATGTAGCTTACATTACACATAACTTTATAAACCACTACACTATTCGGCAGTAAGATTTTTTTTTCAGATGTGGTTACCTTTCTGAAAGAATTCCTCTAATTTCTCCTTGAAGGGCTGGAGATGTTCTTCAGAAGACTCTCTGCAAACTAACTTCATCTGCTTTTCAGAGGCTACAAAAAGATGAGACATATTTATGACAGAAGAAATGTACCAAAAGTAGATTTCAGCACCACAGGAGCCTACATCTAAATACTCACCTGAATTTACTTTAGAGGTTATAAATAAGCACTAAGGAATCCAGCAATTACACTAAAATAAGAAATACAAATACTAGTCAAGTATACTAAATAAAAAATTCTATATGTGTTTAAAGAGTAGAATTTGTCTTTAGTAAGGAATTTGTTCTAAAACTCCTGCAGTGTGCTAGGGCTTGCTAATAACACAGCTTGCCTCACACACTAATTCTATGGTATATGGTATATTTAAATGGTAAATATAATGGTATATTGAAAGCTTTAAGGTCTGTTTCTGTGGTGAGTGGAAAATCCTTTGTATCTGAATTGATTTTAATCAATCAGTGTCAGGCATCCCATACTCAACTATTTTTCCTGAAACAGATGCAGAAATTCAACATTACTTGAGTATTCCATCCCCAGACCATCATATGAAACAGCTGAAGTATGTAAGAAAGTGAACTTATATTTAAGTGCAATTTGTTTACTATTTAATCTATCTGCTATTTTAAGAACAATGCCGTGGCAATTTCTGAAAAACTTAATTTCATTTGCTAATGAATTTTAACAGGCCTAGAACTTCTAATAAACTTAGTGCATTCCAGTGTTCCACATTAAAGATGACAGAAGGCAGAAATCAAAATGAAATTACTTTCCATTTAGCAACTGAATTTATGAACCAGTACAAGAGTTTTCTTCTACAATTTTTCATTTCCAAGAAGCAACATTTAGATGGAAAGTTATTTTGAAGTTAAACCAGAGACTTACAGTTTGACTGCATGAACTGTATTCACACCATATTGCTAGCACCATTAAACAAAATTTAATGTAAAACTGTCGAAATGAAAGTTGAGCCTGTGTAATTAAAATGTTCCATTATTTAAATTTGCAATGTAGTGTAAAAAGTCAAGGGAAGGTTGAAAATAGATGCATTTTACTATGCAAGTAGTATTATGCTTACAAACCCTTGGACCACCAGGACGTACTGAAAACAATCACAGATTTTCAATTAATTGAGAGCAGAAATACATTTGGTCAATTCTTATAGCAAAATGCCCATTCCCACCCAAGACTATATTTTAATTTAGCAACCCTCCACAACTCAAACTGCAGGTTGTGTAAAATGGCCTGGGCTACAGTATAAGTTTATCTTTAATCTATGGTCTTGTATCCGGTAGCATATGACAAATCTTTCAAATGATTCAGAGCAGAGTTAATGGATATTTGTTTGTATGCCAGAAAGTAGGCAGAATGGAGTGGTGATTTAAACACATCATATTCCCTCTTTTAAATACATAATGAAAAGCTTCTTTCTGAAAAAATGTCTTTCTGAAATTCTGAGGAATCTGAGGGAATTCTGAGGAAGCTGACAGCTATCACACCATACATACAATTCTCCTCTCACCATTCCAAAATAATCATTTGAGAAAATGAAAAACCTGTTTCAGCATTACTGAGTTCAAACAGATGCAAATTCTCCACTAATGTAATAAACTTTTGGTTCTTCTCCTGGGTATGAGCTGTATGTTAGTGGAATTGAATGTAATATGCTATTTTGAAAATTGTTTATTTCTAAATGAGCTATTGCAGAAAAAAAAAGGAAAAGACAAGTGTGCAAAAGTATTTGAAAGCCCTTACAAATTGTTGGATGTACATCATGCTTCACCCACTGCAAATCTTGGCCACAGAAATGGAAAGCATTAGCAAAACATTAAAACAAAGCTGGAAACTGCTGATTATCAGTTTGCCACTGTCTTCAGATTTAATGCAGTACTTGGCTCAAAAAGTTCTTTAAAAATCCCCAATATAAGTGAAAATATTTACAAAATAGAATGTCTCTCACTTAATGCCTATTGGGCAATAGTCTTAAAACTCCACAGACACTTGTAAATCTGTCAAAAGAATCATGGCTCATAAACAAACTTTCATGTAAAGAGCATTTCTGTGTCAATCAGACACAATTTGGAATTTTTTAAGCACCATTTTAAAAGTAAACGCAAAACCAGAAATAGTTTAAAGTTGATAACAGTAAATTACTAACTATTTACTCACCAGAACCCATCAGTAGCATTTACAGGAATCAGTCTGACAGCAAAACCAAGTATCAACACCATGAATTCCTATAAACCTGTCAGTGACACTATCCCCTATGAGTTATGCCTCTGTGAAAGCTGCTGGAGCTGCCCTGTTCCTGTCTGCTCAGAGCATGGCAGGTTACACTGCTAGGCTCGCTCTTCCACTCAGCTACAATGCAAGCACATCTTTGACAGAAGGATTACTACTTGACAACTCTTTTTTAGAGCCCTTGCCTTTTCTGTTTCCAAGAGCATTTGAAATAATACTACAAATGAATTCCGTGTAGGGCTAAACAATCCCAAATTTCTGTGCGAGAGAATCCATGATCTTTTACAGCACACAAACCTGTTACGCTACTGGGATCTATACGCCCAAATTAAATCCTAATAAACCTCTGACAAATTTCATAAATTTATATTGTTCAGCAAGTGCTATATCATTTTCTCACGATTTAGTTCCTTTGGTATTACTTTATTATTTTCTTGTTTGGAAACAACTTTGCAAGTTAAACAAATAGTTACTGGTGTAGACACATGTTTACCCATTGGACACCACTGCAGGATCTGGTTATAGTCTCCTGTTATTACATGCACTTAGGTACCTACTCACTGGAGCTGTTCACATGGAATTAATTGAATGCCTTTTGCACTATCTACAGCTTTTGCATTTCTGTACAAACTTGCATGTAAGTTTCTTTTCAGATAGAATTTTAAATAATGTACAAAAGGCAAGAGATTCATCTTGATTCTGTGGGAGCATGGTAAGAATTTTAACTTCCAACTGCAAGAGGCTATGCTGCTACTGACTCAGAAAAGTTTCAGAGACAGTATTTTATTTGCCCTTTTGGACCCATATTGATCATCAGTACATGCCAATAATAGGAACACACAAATGTTCAAGCACTACCACCAAAGCCAGAGCACGGCTGACTAATACAGACGCCTGTGGATAAAGCAGAGATGGAAATGCTGTGGAGTGGGAAATTCTCTGAGACAAAACTATCTGAGAAAAGCATAAATGGGCATCAGACTGTGGTAGCACTCTGTTCTCAAGCTCAATCTCTGCTGCCTTAAATGAAAGTCAACAATTTGATGCAAAAAAGTGTTAGCACACATAAAACTGAATACACCATTCTAACCTACTAATTGCTTGTATAGCTACTGTTCTGTGAAGATATTTGCAGCTAATTTAAAAGAAGAAATATTCTATATAAAGAAGAATAAATGCTTCTATATAAAGTTATTTTCTTCACAAATTAATAATTCCTTTTTCTTAAAAAAATAATCCAGAGGATAGAAGATAATAAGTCAAAAGTCAGTCTCTGAAACACATTTCCTCATGACACACAGAAACACCTGTTTAGGTGCTCTGGTTATCACATATAAATGAAACGGAAAAAACATTTCAGTGACACGTCCTAAGATGTGGAAAATGAAATAATTGAATTAGTGGCATACAAAAGAGTTTAAAAAGTTCACCTGCTCTGAATGAGTCAGACATCTTGACAATTCACACAAGTTTGATCAGATGTTCCACCTTTGTCTTTTGAGGGGGCTTTTCTTGTTATAATTTCAACAACATTTTTGAACATTTAGAGTTAGTGATGGCATACAGAGGAACTTTCAGGCCAATATTAGTTTCAACTGTTCTAAAATTCTTTTAGCTCCTTATTTGGTGAAAGGACACCAACATATTATACAAATAATTTAAAAACCTTTCTGTTAAAATTGTTTCCCAGGAATACATTTAGAAAAATGAAAAAGACTGCTAGTAAAACTAAATATTTTTCACACCATAGCAACATATCCGAGCCTCTGCTTAATGTACTCCTTCTGAAATAGTAGTTTACATTCAGGGCACCCTTCAGCAGAGAAGTACATTGCAAGGGACAGAACAGTACATATAAATGATTATAATGACTAAAGCCTCGTAATTTTCCAGTCAAGCCTTTGAAAGATTCCTTTAAGTGATTCCAGTACACATGATTAGTAGAAACTTTTTAAGTCTCAAGATCCAAACATACAGCACTCCACACATCATTAAGATCTGTCAAGAGTGTAGAACTGTGCGCTAGCAGAATCTGCTGAGAAACTGAAACATTTCCCTTCGCTCTGAACAGTACAAAAAAAGAGAATATTTTAAAACTGAAGAGTCTTGTGTGGGTAATTGAGAGGGAGACAATATTTTTAAGAAGCAAGAATAATATTTTCATCAGATGAGCTAAGATTTTTACTGTGCTAAGAAAGAAAAAGACCTTTCAAACATTTTATCACTTATTGTACTGAATAAGGGATCAGACATAAGAGAATTGGGCAATGGCTGAAACAGTTTATGAGCTGAAACTGTAAAAGCCAGAGAAGTGATCTGTTTTGCTCTCTATTGCTGGATCTCTGATTTTATGTGCAAGACAGATCATAAAGTTGGATCTAATTAATTTTTCCACCAAGTTGGCGAAGTTTGGTTCAGCTGGGCATTCAGCTTAGATTTAAAATCATGTAAATTCATAAAGTACCAGCAATATTAGCAGGAACATTTCACAAAGTGCCCATTAGCCCCACTACTACTAATTTGCATCCCACAGTTTGAAGAAATGCAGTTTCAATCTTTGATATGTGACTGTCTCAATTCTAGCAGAAATCTGTCCTGTCTCTTACTGCATACCTCCACAAAGAGGAAAAGCTGATGAGGTCCATAAACATGAAGTCACAGTTCCTCCCAACACCAGTACTTACCACTCTCCAAACTACATCATTCATTATCCATCATACACATTGATAGGGACAGTATTCCTCCCATTCCCAGATGTACACTACCTGCCCTCAGATGTATCCTTCATAGTTGTGTAACTAATGCTTAACAAA